TCCTGTCCTGTCCCGCAGGCTCCGATGACTGCACAGTGCGCTTCTGGGAGGTGAGCACGGCTCGCTGCATGAAAACCCTTCCCGTGGCCGGCGTGGTGAAGAGCATCGCCTGGAACCCCAACCCCACCATCTGCCTGGTGGCCATCGCCGTGTGAGTGACCCACTTGATAGACTCCATCCTCCAGCTGTCAGCAGCTCAGGAGCTTCCTGAGCCTTGGGGTTGCGGGGGGGACAGTTGCTGGATTTCCGCTTCCAAAGCCTGTCCAGCTGCCATGGCGTGCCTGCAAGCTCGCGGCCCTGCAGCGAGGCCATCCGCAAAGCCGTCTCTGCCTTCCACTTCACTTGGTGGCCCCCATTCTCGCTGAGGAGGGATCAGTCAGTCCCCATCATCCTGTCCCGGAGATTCAGGCTATGACAGGGCACCATCACGTCCTCCCTCATCTGTTTCTTTTCCAGCCTGAGGGCTCCAGGCCTAGAGTGGCCCAGCAGGCTCGCAGATTCCCGCATGTCCCTCCCAGCCGCCCTGGCCCTGTGCTGGGGCCATCCTGTGACTTTGCAGGGCTTGCCGAGGGGGTTGGCACGTCTGCCCCAGCCCTGACACGTGCGCTCTCCCCTGCTGCAGGGAGCAGTCAGTGCTGTTGGTGAACCCCAGTCTCGGGGACAAGCTGCTCTACGGGGCCACCGACCAGCTGCTGGAGTCCTACGTGGCGGAGGAGGAGGAGCGGGTGCAGCCCGTCCAGTGGGTTGTGGCCACCACCGAGGAGCACAGCAAGGGCATCCGGCTGATCGTCCAGCATAGCCGGGTACGGACACGGAGGCCTCGCAGGGAGCTGCCTGGGGAAGCGGGTGCTTGGGTGGGTGATTCCCTGGGGAAGGTGCAGGGCAGTCCCTGCCCGGTGGGGCTGAGCCCCAGCGCTGCAGGTGCTGGGAGCTGATCCCGCGGGCGCGGGGCCCTGGCTGGCAGTGACCGTCTTCCACCCTCGCTCGCTGCAGCCCGTGAAGCAGGTGACCTGGCACGGCAAAGGTGACTACTTCGCCAGCGTCCTGGCTGACAACAGCAACATGCAAGTGCTGATTCACCAGACCAGCAAGCGCTGGAGCCAGAACCCCTTCCGCAAGAGCAAGGGGCTAGTGCAGTGCGTGCTCTTCCACCCCATCCGGCCCTACTTCTTCGTGGCCACTCAGCGCTACGTCCGCGTCTACAACCTCCTCAAGCAGGAGCTCACCAAGAAGCTGATGACAAACTGCAAGTGGGTGTCCAGCATGGCCATCCACCCTGGAGGTACGTGGCCTCTGTGCTCTCCCAAGGAGCTGCTGGGCCTTGTTTTGCACCCCGCCCCCGGCAGCCCCGCAGCTGCCCTCCTTCAAGCTGTGCCTGCCTCACGTGTGCCTGGCCATGACCTGGCACCCTGCAGTGAGGTAGCAGGCTCAGGGTGACCCAGCAAGCCGAGATGGAGCATCCCACTCAGTCCAGGCCATCAGAGGTGCAGCCAGGGCCTGGGAGAGGCTCGTGCTGGCAGGATGTCATGCAAGTTTGCTGGTGATCCCTGTTGACGCCCTGTTCCCTCTCACAGGTGACAACATTATCTGCGGCAGCTACGACAGCAAGCTGGCCTGGTTTGACTTGGACCT